GAAACAGACCCAGACGAACTATTTTGATTCGTGTTGTTTACGCGTCCAAAGACGAACACAAATGTGTACGTTATGCTTCTGTTGCTATGAAACCGCTAGATCGACGAACAAACGACGTCCTCCAGTTAAGGCGACTCCCTGCCAAATGTCAAGGAGGCTAGGAAGGCCTAAAGCCTTTGCACGCGTGACTTTATCGCCATCGCCCAAGTACCCATAAATCACTGCGAGGAACTACTTTTAGAATAATCCTCTTTCTCGATCTGTTAAGGATTGTAAATTATTTTAACTACCGAACCATTAAGAGACTGCCTACACTAAAATTATATATAGTGACGCGTAGCGTTCTGCCGAAAGGGGCAACCACAGCTCATACGTCGATAAGCGATTTTCGGTGTTCGCAAAATTTTAAATATTTGGAACATTTAAAAATTTATAAATTTTCAAAATTTATTTCCGCACGAGGGGGATTTAATACCTCAAAACGCACGTTGCAAAGAACGCCTGAAGCCAATACCTTCCCGGCTTGTTCACCCGGGCTTTCCTAAACGAGCCGCAATAAAACGTCGGTGTTCTTTTGTCATGGCTCGTGAGATGATTTTCAATCAGCAGACGGCCTCTTCGCCTTGCCCCTCGCACGCGTTTTCCCCAAGACATTTCCTCTTTTGGGAGAGTCAAAATTCAGGCGAGCGACATCTCCACTCACAGCAGCCCGCAAACCTTGGAAACAAAAATCCAAACCAAACCTCAAAGAAACGCGGGAACAAAGAGCCAAAAATACACGACGATTCAAGGGTTCCGCTGACACCCCTGCGAAATCCTGTGTCTGTCTGTCTGTCAGTCACACGTTCCATTTTCAAACGCCGATCAACTGCAACGACATTTCAATAGCAATTTTAATTAGATCGGTAAGGCAGCAGCTAATCGAGACATGATGTCGATAAAAATCGATGGTCATGATAATCCGACATGCAATTGGAACTGTTCCAGCTTACTTTGTAACCCGCTCGGCCTCCTCCTCCTTCGGCCAGCCAACAGATCCCGCGCGTCCTCTGGTAACTCAGTTTGTTACGCGTAAGCACGCAAAAGAAAACAATTTTCTCTCAAGTGCAGCCTTCGAGACCGAACTCTGACCGAGTAGAATTTCAAAAACCGCGACCCTGATCACTCAACGCCGTGATGATGGAAGCGGTAGGCACATCCGAAACGTCGGTAAACTTCTACCAGACTACACGGCGCTACAACCCACAAGACACGTGAACAGCCGAGATTTATAGCGACTTTCCGTCAAACGAAAGTCAACCGCTGGACTCCGCAGTTGATATAGCGTCGTCCACATCTGCACAGACAACGCGGGACATTACTGCGGCAACACGAAGTCGACGGGGCAGAACTTTCTATTCTGAGGCGCTCAGTTCGAACCTCGGCTATCCTTATCAGACGACAGCAGCAAGAGAACGGCCATGTGTTCCGGGCGGGAGTGGAGCTGAGACGCCAGCGAGCGACGCACTGTGAATGAGGCTGTCACCACTGACAGTTACTGACAGTCAGGAATGCTCAGAACGTGTTAATTACTGGGTCAAATATGTACACGTACGTTCTGAGAGTCCCCTTATCTGTTTCGACCTGCAACCCGCAGTCATTCACACGCGGCGAATTGGAACAGAAAATACAGCACCCCCCCCCCCCATTCCACCGCAAGTCCTGCCAGGAGGAGGGCGAAAACACTGATCGTCTGCTTTTGTAGTGTATCTGCTGAATCCACTGCAGTGCGCAGATCGCCCACATTTCATTGTGACCATTAATGATTTTTCGGAGCACAATGAGTCTCGTTTAAGCACGATTATCCTCTGTAGTAAGCAAATGCATCACTGGGTTTCGAAAATAAATTCTGACCACAAAGACAAATAACGAATGAGTTTTGAGATAGGTCGTGACCTACTTCAAGCCAACACCCCGACCTCAGGGCAGTCGCCATCTCAGCCGAGATTTGGACCGGGATGCTGTCCACTGATCATCCACCTCCTCCTTGGCCTCGCGTTTAAATCCGAAGCCCTGTCTTAGCGATAACAAAAGCTGCTTTCTTTCCGAACATTTTGTAGACTCTGTCCCCACGTTCCAGCGCTCCGCGTGCCTTCGGAATTAGACGGGCCAAGACAGCCGGGGAATTGACAGCAGAGAGAGAATAACGAAGCAAGTTTGCTGGACGTGTTTCCTCGCCACGAGATTAAAGGATTTGCTGTTGCAACACGTGATAAGATACAAATAAACCCGAATTCGTGCAAGAATGTCAGTGTTTTGTTTCCAGCATCACAGAGCAGACGCGTCACAAGGAATTCATCGAATGACACGTAATTTTACAAGCCTCTTGTATGAAGCTGCTTCGCCATGAACGTGTCACATTTCCCGACCTAAATCAAGGCGCACGGATGTTCTAAACGTCCCTACGCCATTTCCCCAGCCTGGCGTTTACGAAAACCTTCAGAGGCGAGTTCCTCTTTGATGCAGTCGAACTCTTCATGGGCTGCAACACCCCGACATAACTCCAACGACAGTCTTAAAATAGGCCACGACAACAGCACGCTTGTAACACCGCCTCAGAAAACTATCTCTTGCGCCGTCCGCCATGTTTACATCCCGCCTCTGGTATTTTAAACAATTTTCGTGCCGAGGCTCAGGACAGGCAACTGTTGAACACACAAAAGCGTACTCCGTTATGGGGTGCACCGACACAACCACGAATTTGCTCATTGATCTCCGTTAGAATTCATTTAAATTAAACTTCCCGAATACTTTAAAATACAGGGCCGAATGGTACAAAAGTATTCGGTCCTCGATCTGTTCGCCAAAAGAAATCCGGACGCGCAAAATTCTGATTGGCTCCCACGCGACCACGCACTCCAAAACATCTGTCTGTTCTTATACAGACAGACAGACAGACAGACGCGATCGAGTGCGCGGCGGAATGATTGGTTCATCATTTTTAAAAAGCCACTGTTTACACTGTCTGCGTTGTTACAACCGTCACCACGGCAACGCTACTGAAGGGTTTTATGATCGAATGTGATTTTCCAGCACGGCATTGCGGTCCTCAATTTGGCACGTCTCAGGCAATTCAGATTCTGCGGTAAGTCCACTTCAGTTCACCTCTCGGGAAAAGAGGAGACTAAGCGCGTCTGGGCCACCCCTGAATAAACCAGGCTCAAATAAGCTTAATCGCCTTAGCAGTTTGCTCCTAATAAACGGCAACACGAGGCTCCTGACTTCACCAGCACTTGCTGGGGGGCTGTGCCCCCGGCCTTGCATCGCTACCCAACAGCATTCGGACTGGCAGCGAGCTACCGGGTTCCACGCTCTTCATCAACTGCTCAAGTTACTGCAACGGAATTCGGGTCTCCGGGGCTTGTCAGGCGCTGCCTCGCGGTATTTCGTCAGGACGGGACGGATGATTCCATTTGTATTTTATTTGTCAACGTCAATATCATCTTATCAAGGGCGTGAATTGTAAAGCTCCTCGTTACGTATTTTTCTCAAGCCTGTCGCCGCCGTCATATCTGCGTCCGAAGACGCGGGCGCCGAGCTCAATCTCAAACGACAAACGACACGATTCGATTTCGCTTCTCGAGACGCTACAGCTGTCCTGTTAATTATACCTTCGTGACGTCAGAGTGCACCTGAACGCGTGACGTCACACGCCGGTCTTCGTCGCCGACTCAAAACTCACGGCCGAGGTCTACGGTTACCATCACTTCGCATAAACATGCCGTCTCCGTCTTCAGAGTAGAAGTGAGCAGCGGATCTAAAATTTGAGTCAACACAGCGCGAGGGTGGGAGATCAGAAGACGACGCTTTACGATGTGAAGGGTTTTGAACCCGCGGACCGTCGATGCGTTTCCAGAGGTACGCGGAAAGTGTCGTTTTACCGTGACACCTGCACGTAAAAAGAAATTCCGTCCACACTCTGCATTACGAAAGAGCGCCTACAACAGATAGAAAGCAAAATACCGTAGTGCAGTGACGTCACAGGAAGTTAGCAGCGTCTTTATCAGCTGTCATGGCGTTCTTTATTTACCACGCGGCTAGCGCGCGAGCGATAAAAGAATTGTGAATCTGAGGGGCCAGAGCGTAATACGGCCAGAATTATTTTGTAAATGTGCCACTGAAATGTCGCGGAGATACGGCCATTTGCAGTAAAACTACAGAGGCTTCCTCTCGCTACATCACGAAATAACGAGACGCCACGTAGCGTCTGATTGCTCAAACACAATTCACGTTGATTAAGACGGCCTTTGCTGCGTCACAACAGCGAAGAGGAGTCAAAATGGTAACAAGCCTAATATTGTTCGGAATGCGCGGAGCCATGTTTTTATTTATTTTTTACAGCAGGTCTCGTGAAGACCAGAAGAGTCACACGAACTTCGAACTCTGACTGACTTGCGTCCCTCTTGCCGCGTAGTCGAGATTTTCTTTAAAGTTCCGTTCTCCTGCAAGCACTGAACCCCACAGTGAGCTACTTGCAATATGGAGATGCTCTCAACTTCTCAGAAGTTAGTTCCGTGTTTGTCACAACCGCAGATCGCGAATCCCACACGACAAATAAGAAAACGGAAATACAACCTTGAAATTTCAGGTGTTTTCCCACTTTTCACGGATTCTGCCTTGTAATTCGATGAAAAAGCCCACTTCAAACGAACGTATGCGCAAAGAGACATCTTTCCTATTTCACTCCAAATGCGAGCAATTCCGGGGACTTCGTCAACAACGTACCCTCCCCCGGCCGCCGCCAAGCCCATCGGTGGATTAAACGCAAACGCTCGTCCGGAGCAGCGGACAACACAAACAATTTGCGGTCACATACTCCGTACGCTTATCAACACGCTCGAACGGAATACGAGTCGGGATCTTCGTTCAGGGTTCAGAAACCTTGAAATGACGCCAAGTTTTCAGACTCTGTTCCAAACCACGCCAGAAAAACAAACGATCCTCATTCGCACAGTACTTACTGCAAACTTTCATCGTCCAGTTCCTCCTCGTCTTCGGAGTCCAGGATCGTGGACAGACGGTGGAGGTGGAGGTACTGCAGTGGCGGATCCAGTTTGAATTGTTGACAAGACTCCACGAAGACAACAATCACGTCATTGTCGCTGACGACGAGCAATCAGAGCGGAAGGCAAGTCGCTAGAGCACGGCCGCCAACATCACGTCCCGCCAGTGTCACCAACTCACAACGAAATGCCCTAGACGAAATATTCCTAAGTGCAAAACGTTCTCGGCGAACGTCGCATTCCTTCACGTGCGAGTGTGTTGCATCGCTGTCAACAAATCAACAAAAATATTTGTCCTTCCGCGTGTCCAGAATCCACGTTCAAACGGCGACCAAGTTTAAGCGACACGCAGACAACACAAAATAACTTGGCAAATCCACTTTTCTCTCTTCGACAAACCGTGTTCAGAAATTCTTCTAACGTAAAACAGTCCGCGTCCTCTCTTACCGAAGCAAAACTTCACTGCAAACCACGCCGACTTCGAGTGTTATTCTGGAAAGAGAGATTCTAGTGCGAACGCACTTTACTCGGTAAGCTTCGACTGCAACAGCACAGAAACGACTGGGCCGGCAGACCGAGGTCTGCATCCACCGTCCAGTATCGACACTTCAACGGCAGAGGCCCCACTGTCTCTAGCGAACGCAAAACAAGACGTCGTCTTCTTCAAACATTCAATTCAAATTATTGCACACGTGAGTAAAACCGCGCAGACAAGTCACTTGAAAATTCAATAACTGGGAAAAAAAATAAACCCTCTTCTTTTAAGACGATAAAATGTTTACCCAGTCAAAACACGAGTTCAAGCTTCGGCAATGCGGAAAACGCAAACCAATTAATACGACGATAATAAAGTCACTTCACACGAAATCAGAACCTTCGTTCAAAACACAAACGAAGGTCGAACTAAGATCTCGTTTCTCGTGGCGCATAAACTGACAAACCGGAAATGCACCAAACACAAGATGGCAATATTATTAGAGCATCGACGTGAGTTAGTTCGGATTACGGGCAGACGACGGTGCTTATTTGAATTCAAAGATTTTGCCTTGGAAGTTAATCAGTCGTTCCCATGACGTGACCTCATACAAAGTTTGCTCTCTTTCGTTGCACTCTGCGCACAGATAAACAAAGAAATATTTTCTACGAATCTTCGCACGTTTTCTTATTAACGAGACAGGACAACTGCGAACACGTCTGCCTTCTTGATGCACCGCCGTCCTGTTCAAACTCTCGTCCTCCTGAGCAAGAGAAGTGGCTGCCACGGACACACGGTCGCCGTCCACAATTTACCATTCGCTTTCACCTTGTAGAAGATTCTTTAAAATGCGTCGTGTTTCCTTTCTACAGAATATGCTACGACTTTTCACCACAATTCTAAATTAGTTGAAACGCACACAAGACAAAGTATTTACGCAAATGTTACAAAAAAACAATTTTTTTAAAAAAGCTGTTTGTGTTTTGTTACGAGTTAAAGCGATGCAACACAGCTCTACGCCTTGACAACTATCAATCGAGAGCAAAGCCGAGTATCGATCTCTGTAAATCGAAATCGAATATTTCTACGACACACAAGAACTGGTCCTAAGCCTTCAAATTCACGGATCAAATATGAATCTCGCTGAACCATGACAGGAAATACTTCACTCGGAGTCTACAGATCGCCCAATCTTAGGCGATCACAAGACGAACGAAACTGGCCACTAGAGTCGCAGAAATTTTGAATATTCTCGCTGACAGGCTACGCCCGGTTTCTGGCAGTCGGTCGAGAGTTCGACGATCGGAGCAGGAAGTGCTCTCGTCACCGAACACAATGTCACCAGGCCGTAGTCACTCAAATCAGGCGGCAGGTTTCCGGTTGCTATGCAATTGTGCTGTTTTATTACTGAAGACGAAGACAGTCGATGCGACTGAAGCTCCTTGTTGCCTTAAAACCGCTGAAGACACGTATTGTCAGCCTCCGGACCCGATGCTTACTGTACACACACAAAGAGTTGTTAGCTCGCTGTCAGCTATAAACTCGCCTCCCCTTCTCATCCACAGATGTCACGTGGCTCTGTCTACTAACTTGGCGCATGCAGTAAAAACATTTCGCAGAAAAAAAGGTAGAGGTGCCTGCCGATGGACTTCACAAACGCCATCCAGCGCACTCATTAGCCACGGCCCATGTGATCGTCACCCGCGCTGAAGCACCGGCTGGCCTTGGTCCAGCCTTGATCACCAGCTTGTTAGTAATAATTAGCCTGTGTTCATTCGGGGCAAGCTAATGAGATTTGATGTTACGAGTCACACGTGCTTTTCCGCTCCGCCTTGATTACGCGCAGCAAGCAGACCGGAGGACATCGCCGATTAGGAAACCGAGCAACAAGGAATGCGCCCCTCAAATTTCTAATGGACGAAATATTCCACAATCTGACGAAACGCGTAAAACAAACAAAATACGAAGAAAAGGGACGTTTGTACAATTTGAATAACGTAAATAATAACGAGCTCACTTTTTCCCGACTGTCTGTAGCCGAGTACTAAGGCGTCCGATTAGCATGCAAGATGTCTACTCGTGGTTTACCTCAGTTCCCCTCAACACGTGAGGACAGTGTCCTGCCACTGTTGGTTGATAAACAAGAGGACAGCGGACGGTGCAGTCAGGTAAGGAAGGAACAGACGACGTGATTGGACACACGTTGACAGGCGACGAGTGTGTCACGTGCCGGCCACTGGAGTGGCAGTAATGGCCGTCTTTATTAGAATACCGGACTCCTTTTAATTAGTTCGGTGTACAAAGAGTCACCAGCGAAGGAAGGAAAATGCCCAGATAACGGAGCAAACACGTTCTATTACGCGGCTTATGAATATTTACGTCTCGGTCTTAATTGTTGCTAGGACCGACGTCCTCTGCCCTTCGAATGTGTGCCGGGATGTCGTCAAGGGTGTCCACAGAACTGACCTTGAGCACTTACCAACTGGCTAGCGGCTTCCTGGGGGCCTGGATCGTCCAGTTCGCACTGGGATGTGAAGATGACCACCCACTTCAGGTTTAAAATGCGTGGAACTCTGCCTCCACGCCCCTTATGCACACAGGGCGTGGTCCATAGACAGTCCCGGTGCACGCGACAGGGACAAAGATTACAGAACACGTCCTGACGATTCCACCTCTCTGGATTTCCGCCATCTTCATGGACAGGTTACGTCACTTCACGACTCAGAAGACGAGAATCAACATCGCCGTCCTGACAACCTCAAATCTTTTTTTTAAAAAAGCCAGACCTCATTCTCTCTGGTTTTTGTGACGACTAACGACCCATTGGAGATTTACCTGAGTTACCCAGTGGGTGTATCTACTAAACCTGTCAAACCTGCCCCTGAAAAATGATCCTTCGTGCAGCCCGTTACACACAGCTGCCATTTGGGTTGCTTGCATTCCAGGTGCCCGGAGGCCTTGCACCTGCAAAAACTTTTGCCGCGTTCTCTCCTCTCACTTGCGATCGTAACACGGGTTTATTGCAAGTTGCTTCGAGGTTTTTACTGTCTCCACGTTTGAAGAGGGCTTACAATAGAATTACGAAGCGACGGGGCGTCGCAGAGACGGCACGAATTTCACACACCGTCGACAGAAACATTTTTGACATTTCCGTGCAGCAACCAGTCTCAAAAAGAGAAAACAAAAGTAAAACGCAGATTAAGCGAGACAAGGTTGTCCCTCTTTATATGTGCGATATCGATACGTAAACTTTTATCGATCGCAGAATCATTTCGAGTTTAAATCGGCGGACGAGACACAAGCACGCAGAGGAAACGATGTTCACTGGAGGCTACTCACCGAGGACAGGACTTTCTGTTGATGCCGTTGTGTTGGGCCTCGCTGGCGTTCTTTACGGCGACCTGAGGGAGATTCTTCTCGTTGGCGTCGCTTGGAGCCGCAGTGGACATCAGCTGCATCTTACGCTCCTGTCAGTAACCGGTCCAAAACGAAGGTACGTGGTCACTTGCGCCCGCCATCTTAGTCTCCTGGCACGGAACGAACTTCAGCTGCAGGAAGAAACAAGAAGCACGTGGACAAGGATTACGCCCCAGACATTTTAATCAGGACAAATTAATTTCATAAGGCGATAATTATACCTGGAGACAGTACTCGAAGGTTTGCAACAGAGAATGTGTCTTATTGGTCACGTGGGCCTGATCTCACAAGAGGCACAGAAGCCGAGTTCCGAGGACCTTCCTGGCGACGCACGCAGATCGGACGCCAGTAACAGGTAAATGACGACGACGACGAAGAGGGACAGAAGGGTCTGTCATTATTTATTGCCCACGGAAGTGCCTGCGAAAAGGCACTGGACCCTTTCAACTGCTGCTCTGAACGAGAAAAGGCACGCGACAAACGAATCGCCAACAGAGAATTCGCTCCCCCGCGCACAGAACTGATAAGCCCAGTAAATCAGAACGGCATTGCCTTGCTTTCATATGGGACTCTGTCCCGAAGTCAAGTACAGACGTACTGTGAGTACATTTGAGAAAAGGTGAGGCTCCATGGTTTGTACACTTCATCAAATCCGACCAGATCCTCATATCCCCAGATTATACGACAGAGCGTGACCTGGTCTCTGTTTAACGTGCACCTCGCTAAGACGTCAGAGGCTGATAAGGCCGGTAACATATTACGTGGGACATTTTAATTACCGGAGCGTCATTAAAGAGAAAAAGATGTTTTCTTGATTGGTGTTATTGTATTGCTGGCTGAGATTTACATTAAGGAACACGCAGTATTTCGAAACAAGAGGGCGCTTGGCACTGGTACAAGCAGCTAAACACAGCGGTGCACACTTTACACACGGAGTTGAACCCAAGTGTTCCACGCGCTTCGTTGAAAGTCAGGAAATGTCTTCAACGGCAACTTCAGGGTCTCTATCACAGGCAATATCCATTTTTGTGCAATCAGCATCAGACGGGAATCAAGCAGCTTTCCGCGTTCACTGCCAATACCAAATTCTGTCGAAATCTATTCAGCTGAACCGTGAATTTGTCCCCTGGCAGAATATGCAACTGGGTGCACCAACTCTGAGCTGGGGCGAACGCCCAAGTGACACGACTGCGGCTGGTCGCACCTGTCGCATGCTTTAGACCAGTGGTATTCAACCTGGGGTACGCGTACCCCCGGGGGTACGCGAAGACATCTTAGGGGGTACGTGAAATTTAAAAATATATATATATTATTTTATGATAACATTGAATAATTAGTTATGTAATTTATTTAATTTATTTCAGATGTAGATTATATACTACGTATAACTTGAATTATACACCAACAACTTTGGGGGTACGAAGTTGAAGAGAAATTATATCTGGGGGTACGCGAACGAAAAAGGTTGAATTCCACTGCTTTAGACGAGACGCGAGGTAACAGTTCGAAGTGCGTGTGTGAGATCGTTACGGTTGGCACATAAATCCGAGAGGAGACAACACTTGAAATCTTATGCAACTGTTGGTGTGGCTGATGACTTCGTATGACGTCATCTTCTTTTGCTTTCTTTACTGGGCGTAGCAAACTCAAACAGTTCTAAGCGAGAAAATTAAAAAAGTCATTACTCTGGTAACAGCGGTTTAACATTCCGTGAACTGCGCATGCTCTAAATATAGCCCCTTTTATTACAAAGCCGTGAAGCTTCTCTTCGGACGTAAAACAAAGGCAGACCTCGGCGGTCTCATGTCCTAGGTGTCGGCGTGTCACAGGACTCGGCCGGAACAACATAAACCACCGGAAGACAGCGGCATTTGACGGCATTCGGTCCTACCGACGCGGCGTCTGGGCCTTTTAAAGCGCAGTGGTAACTCTGCGCACCATCTGTAGAGGACCTGACGTCTTTAATATTGTTTTGGCCAAGTTTCGGCTTCCCCTACAGGCCATTCGCTAATCAGACAATAAAAATTTAAATTCGGGCGATGCTTGCCAGCACGCGTCTGGGAATCTCTCATCGTCCCGCCCACAATGCAGAAACTGCAGTTTCAGCTGTAGACTTGCACGAAAGGCTGCAACAGTGATTTACGAGGCTGAGGAGAATATTTGCTATCAGAAAGGGCAAATTAATGGCGATTAGATGGGCTGATAACGTGGCACGGCTCATCCGATCACTGTCACTTCTGCACAGACGGTTAAGCTGATGGCGGAAGTCCGGTCGGAACACCGGATCAATGGAGACGCGAGAGTGGACGGACAAAACGGTCGCCACACCCAATTCGTCATCCTTGATCTGCGACCTATGAGCATAAACATCCGCTCATTACGCGGTGTTGCTTCGCCCCTCTCAGGCCCCAACTTCTCCTCACACATCCTCAATGCCAAGTGGAAGCCACACTTCAATTTCGACTTCAAAAAAATTCAGTCAGAGTCTCTGCGCTCCCGACCTGCGGTGAACAAACGTCGATGTCGAAGGCGTACGAAAGCGGGCTCCGGCTGCAATCACTCCCGCCAAAGGACCACGCACTTCGGGGACGCTGAGCGCCAATGAGCCCCGTCGCGGCACTTGCCTGGAGGGACTGAGGAACATCACGACGTCCGGGTCAAACCAATGGCCACAGAGCAAAGACGAAGGCGTGTCCTGACACGAGAGGGTGGAGATAAAACGACTGATATTCTATGCATCGACACCGATCGATGGAGGTGAGTGGTGAGCTTCACGCCCTGGCCGTCTTACCCACAAATAAGATTGAAAGTCAAGTTACGTGGCGAACTGAAAATGAATAATTCGGAAGTAAGCGTAGTATTTGAAGTTCTAGGGGACACCGGTAACCGGGTAAGAGCGGTGTTTCTGCTACAGGCAAACGGATGGACGTACGGAAGGCCCCTGAAACAAGTTGCCGGTTATATTAACAAACTTCCCATAAGTGACAAGTTCATTTTTAATTTGCGATATTTAAATACCTCTGCGATAACTTGCCTGACTTCGGTCTCCTGGTTCCCAGTTCGGAGCCTGTATAGGCCTATCCTTATTCACATTTTCCTCACTCTCCCACTTCAATGTGACGCAGCACGCATTCTTACAGCATCAATATGAACTCAGCACCCGATAGTTTGATGACGCGCCAAGTAGGAATTTGCAAGGTACTGAACCCGGTTCTAAGCTCTATTATGACATCCTCGCAGATGACTGCATAAGAATCAGTGCAGTCGAATGTCCGTCCTCTGTGCCCAACGCCACATCGGCGTGAAGATTCGCCAATGAAATGCCCCAGAGCCACTTCTTCGATTCATCGCCGCGACATTTCACATTCCATCATAAACGACACGCGTCCGGTGTCTCCTGACCCAACTTGGGACTTTATTCAGCCCCTTCGTGGCAGTCCCTAAGGCTGGCCACGACCACTTCCTCCGACTGCTCCTCATTTCGGCCCGGAAACCGGGACTGTCTTTACTTTTCCCCACGAAAATACCAGCGTTACAGTTCATAACAACTACACAATTTCACGATAATAAGAAGCAACTACGAGACGCCCCACTTGCCTACTCACCCTGTCGTCGGATGACTTACGCCGCGTAGGTCCACGGGACGTTGAGGCAGAAAGAGCGAGGACCCCAAACCAGGATTTTCCGGGACGCTGCCTCGAAGTTGGCAGCGGCTCTGTAAGACCTAATCTGTCTCGTTTCATGCACACGAACCTACAAACATACGCACGCGTATGGAAGTGGTCCCGTCACGTCGAGCGAAACAAAAGACGAGCAAATCCTCACCGCACCAGAGCCGTGGCAAAACTGATCGGCCGCCCGACCCCTGAGACACTTAAATTCTCGCTCCGGTGCGCAGAATCAAATCGCTCGACGCCCATCACTTGGCGGGCGGAACGGGCCCTCCGCGAGAAGTGAATCAACTGAGCTCGTTATTTCACACGTCCCACGTCCCACGTCTCACTGGCACCCCTTCCTAGCAGGTCGCGGCATCAGCGAACCAAGTTCCGGCATCAAAACGCACGCCTGCAGTCAGAGCTCGGGAGGCGGCATCTGCTTCGACCCTTGGACAAGGGCGGTGCACGCCGACCCCCACAGAACTTGCAACAACAAAAAATGTGTCTGGCGTCGACTTCTTTTATGTTTATCGGGACGCCTGGCAAAACTGCCTTCCACAAGGCTCCAATTTATGTCACGTGCAACTGTAAATAAATCTATGAACTGTCTTTGAGCTCATTTAAAATGTGTTGTTATGTCGACCTCAAAAATAGACTTCGTCACTACTACGCCAATTATTCAGGAAATTACCTTCCAATGTTGCAAACATAAAATAAGAATATCCCCTAGCCTACTAACGCAGTAGAAAGAAACTTAGACAAATGACATCAAATTGCAGGCGAGAGTCGAACTGGGTACTCCCCCCCCCTCCAACCAGTATTACGTCCTAATCGATCGATATCTCGTCCGTGAACACATGGCACGACTTCAGCGAAGACGTGGTTGCCTAGCAACAGAGTGTTAACTGCTTTAACAATGTCTTTAAACACGGAGCAGCGAGGCGTGTTTGTTGTTGTAACCGTTGAACAAACAGCTTCGAGCAACGGTAATTTTTGTAAGGCTGAAGCGCTAATGCGGCGGTGATAAGAACCAAAAACATAAATAAATATCCGACTTCAAACAAGTGGCATACAGCGTGTTCACTCCAAAAGCAGTTCCAGGGCGTCGTTCCACTGTTCGATTACTTTAGTAACAAGGTGATTTTAAATGTAGAAACGACAGGTAATCGTCGTGGGATTTCGCCTCGGTCCTTGCAAGACACGTGGCTTCCTCATCGTCTCGTGTAAGTTGTCTGGAAACAACCCAAACTTCAAACCTAAGGGCGGTATCGCACTAGGATGCCAACGGGAGGCCATGGCGCAGCTGCCAGCATCTCGGCCAAACATAATGCATTAATTTAGTAGTCATATAACGCACCTGGCATCCGTCTGGCAGCGCTTCCAACTTGGCATCGCTGCCAACCAAGATGCCGTTCAAATGCTACTGGCATCGCTGCCAAGGCCAAATCAACATCACACGACAGTCTGAGGCCAGTCCATTGACGTCCGTGCGTGAATGTGCTTGTGTGTATTTCTGTTTCTTCCAAACACGGATAATTTCGACACCGAAAGACTGATAATTGAAATTCAGTCCCGACCATCACTATGGGATTCATCTGCTATTGAATACGCAAACCGGGACTTGAAAAGAAGAAACTGGGAAGAACTTGTGGAAATATTTGGAGGAGGAGATTTATTTACAGTATAAAAGAAAGAATTAGCTAAGAAGTGTTTCTATGGCTTTATTTGTGGGGCCGCTTTCCAATGTGGCAACTCGATTTTTAAGTATTTTTGTTTAGCAATCTATTTATCAATCGATATATCACAAATAATGTGAATTAAGAAGAAACCTGCTTTTATAATGTTTTATTAAATAAAGTTTGTTCATGTAATATTACATGTGATTTGCAAGAACTGAAATATTTCAAATTCAATAATGGTATGGACGTGCAAAGTGTGTGTCTGGAGAATTTTTCTTACTTATTTATTTTGTTACAGAGTTGAAATTCACTCCAGGTTTGTAGTTTTGATAAAGGTAAATCTCATTTTCTCAAAAGTGATAAAAGTGGACATTTCTCCTTGCTAATACCCCTTCATTTCGTCATCTCATAATGTCTATCCATCTGTTCGCTCGACTGGCGTCGAAAGCTGGCAGCTTGTCTGGCGTCTTTTTCTGGCAGCTGGACGCCATGGCATCCTAGTGCGATACCGCCCTAAGACGTAACGAACCTCTTGCCTGCATAAATAGCGGGGAATTTCTGCCCAGCTGAGTGACTACCAGCTTCACAATGACTGTTTCTTGGAATTATTTAACTTGAGTGTAAGAAATGCCAGCACATAGCCTAAAAACACTCTCAGGTCAGCAAACTGCAAAAAGTGATGACTCCAATGAAACAGTGCGCTGATAACAAGGACTGTATAGTTTATCAGTTGTCGCAGCTCGGTTGCCATTGGTTACCAGTCCCGCGCTGATAAAAACAATCAGTAATGGTTTCGATTTACTTTCAAAAGGGGCCGGTCGCGTGTTTCAAAAACGTTCAAACATCGTTGGACAGACATTCGAGGCGCCTGACACTCAGGAGGAATGCTGACCCGCGTGGTAATACGATACAATGTCGTGCTTGGAGTGCTCTGCCCCATCATGGCGTCTGCTTATCATAACAATCTACAGAAAAAATCAACCAGATAACGTGTATTCTGACCGTGTGTCAGTGCACTCTTCAAATTTAATGTCCAAAACTATCGTGGAAGATTAGTAACGCAGAGGATCTGCATTCTAGACTCACTCTCGTTCGATTCTGTCACGTGGAGGGATGAGTCAGTTACCGAGCGCTGGTTCTGACAGGTGACGCCTTCAGCGCATGGCGACACCTGCCAGCTCGTCAAATATCACGTGTGCCAAGCCACGACGAAGCCTTTACACGATCAACGCGAAGCCTCTCCAACAGGAGGCTGGATTCACGCCCTGCAAATATTGGTCGTTTCGGTAGGCACTGCGCTCGGGCACAGCGTGGAATGTTTCACCCTCATCTCGAGCGTTCGAATGTTCTGTCTGTCAACTGAGGAATCCGGCAATTATGAGAAATATCCACTTTATGTTTTACAACCAGAACCTCGCAGTTTGTGACACTTTTAAACGGAAATGACGTTAATTAAGAGACGCAAGGGCTTGGTACAAAACGTGACTACTGACTTGTGTGTTCCTGAGTCAGGACTCGATGTGGGAAAAGAAGAATTTTGGTTGGGGAACCTGTTTCAATGTGGTAAAGTATCATAGAACGATGCGAATTGACTGCACACCAGTAACACCAGGTGGTTCAACCCCGTCACCTCGAAAGCTAGCTTTTCGACACTATACTGACCCACTTCAATACCATTCATATCCGTATAGTCCGTTCGTGTAGGATTCATTTTAATAATATTCTTCCATCTATGACCAGGTATTTTGTGTGATTCTTTCTCTGGATTTTGCAATAAGTCAAAACGTGTGTGCATTTACTTCCTCCATGCGTGCTGAATGCCCTTCCGGTCCAATCCTTCCCAGTGTCTAGTAATAAACAATAGTAACGCAGCTAATCATTGTGTATTTTTCCAACGTTCAGCCTGTTCTTTATTCAGACGGACAGACAGACATTCAAGCAAATAAAATTATATTTAATATATTTCAGTCCTTTCGGTCAGGAGATGAATTAAGTACTCTGAAGTGCGTGCTAACACCCACTCCCTGAATTTAACCCGCCGTTATTTTCATCCTGTTTGTCCTATGTGACACTGTCGTCCCAAAGGCGGCGAAATTTTCTGCACTTCAAAAGGCAATGTCAGAATTTATTATCCTCAAATTATAGCTATATCTTTAAATTTATGATATTCTGTTCTTACCTGTGTCCATCCCGTCACCAGGACCTGCTGTTTGTTTCTCTGCACAACTTCCGAACCGACTCCCGCCTCGCCATTGTCTTTTTTTCTGCCCGCGCAAAGTTTACACTTTTAACACATTACTTAATTCAAAGCTGCAAATGACCTAATAATATATTAAATACCTTGTATTGACAAATTAACATTTTTAGATAATCAATACACCAGGCTTCTTTTCAGAATTAAATATTTGAAACTATTGTTTATAACTAAACTGACGCGTACTTTGATACCCTGCAGCCATGATGAGAAAACTACAGGTGTGCTACAGGCCCAGTGGAGAAATTTGGAACTAGCGAGTGACGTGGTACAGTCAGTTACGCCGGTAATAGGCCACGTGTCAAAAACATTCTCGGCGCAATGAGTATAATTTTATAAAGTTTTCTGGTTTCAGGAAAATGGCGAAACGAACGATATTTTCACCTAAAAAATCATTAGTAAATGCTCTTCCAATAATCAATTGTTTATTAAGCTATTATTAATTTAATGAATGGATGTATCAGTATTATGGACGACACAGAAATTCTGCAGATAAGGATGGCAGAGTCTCCTTTTAGAAAAGACTCTTTATTATCGTCATCAAAAGCACGAATAAAGCTCGAGAGAATAAACCAGCGATTCATGCTGATGAAGAACACTTCGCTCGCATAACGACAATCATCTGGGTTTGTTGACTACCGAGACAACGGGTCTTAATCATCAGAGCATGAGCATTTCAGAAAATGGGTAGAACCCGGTTGATTACAGAGACGAGCGCTGAAACTGCTCGTTCTAGTCGCGTATCGGACTCCCAGAGGACGGACGTTTCGGTTACATCCGACTACTTATTTGGAATCGTTCTGCACGACGCAACAATTCAGCTCAGTCTGGCAAAGTAAGTGACAGTGGCCATTGAGTTTTAAGGGACGGACGGAAAAATAAGATTCTCCGGTACAAATCAGAGCCCACTTTTCTGTTGCACACGTCGAGTTTCTAATGCCCTGGAAGATATTTGAAGTTAATAATCCAAAAAATGAAATTGGTATTTCCGTGCTGGACTGGGGCATGAGTTTGAATTCTGGTCACGTGAAAAATATCTTAATTCTTGATATCTTGAACACCTCACAGGTTCTGAAGGACACAGATTATTGATGTAATAAAAAGCGCCTTCTAAATTAACATTTCGGCGTATAATCACAGCGAATTGCACACTAGCCATGGACGCGACACTACAACCACCTAAAATAAAATTCTGAGAAAAAATAAACGTATGGCAAAAGATTTTCGAATCTGAGCAGTTTAATTTAAAACGAAAAACTTCTCGGCACTTGTACAGATGCGGTCTGATGACGATAACTAATGAACTGCGTGTAATTTGGGGAAAGAACAGAGCATAAACATCGCTGGGAATTATTTTCCCTTGAGAAAGGATATCATGACGAGCTATTAAATACTGAGGCTGCTATCAGCAACGAAGAATGTCCTGAAAGAGCATCATTGACAGTGTCTAGTGATGAGGGACTCTGAAAGTGTCAGCCCGCCCTGAAAAAGGCACGAAAATGTAAAATTATTTTGCCCGAAACACGGATAACGTTGCTGCGGTCTGGGTGCTTCAGTCTCAATTGGAACCTGACTGTCCCTCTAGTTTCCCAACTCCGTGCGACAGTGCTGCTCCAAACGGGCACCTTTTCTTACATCCAGTAATACTTATCAATATTTAAGACGTATCACAGTATCGAACTTCGTTATGTTTTAATTGTTTTTGGATTGAGAAATTTTATTTGAAATGCCATACTATGTCTTACGAGAGGAAATTTCCGGGCAAAAGTTTGAACAGATGGACCAATCAGGAGACAGTTAACATGCAGACGGCGCGCTTCTTGTAGGAGAGTGACATTTCACAACATCGAATCACAATACAATTTAACTTGGTCTTGAATTTAATTAAGACAAATAAACATTGTTCGATTCCACGATGTCATTTGAAATATCAAACTCGCCTTGGATTTAGTAAACTTTGTGACAATGTCGCGAACACGTTGACCAATCAGGAGACAGGTTACAAGCGGACAGTGGGCTGAATGTCTCTGCTGATATTACGTATGATGAAATCACAGATTAATAATTTAAACGTTCAAGAACATAGCCACCAGGGATATATATTTTTATTTAATACAATTTTATACAATATCACAAATTTTAAACTAGCTTATACCAAATTCTTCAAATAAAGTTTTCATCTGTCGGCAAAAACCTTCGAAGCCCGTTTTGAAGATTGTATTCATAAATGACAGACGTGCCGTATACTTAAAATACAATACTCACTAATTGCCTTCTGAGTGGTGCATATTGTAAAGACATACAAAACATGAGGATATTCAATAGTCTGTTGGAATTTAGTACCTGGGCAGGATCATCTTATTAGATTAGCAAACAATTTCTTTCTTAAAAAAAACCTTGCATGTGTTGTTGGAAATTATAATTTCGTGAACTGATTCTCGTGTAAACACTCTTCCAGCAAATGATAAAACTGTTGTGTTCATACAAACAATTAAAAATGTCTCGAAAGAGCAGCATTAACAGCGTCTAGTCATGAATGACTCCGAAAAGTTGGGTCGGTTTTAAAAAAAAACTCGACAGTGTAAAATTATTTTTGTCTAAAACATTGTTAATGTTGGTGGTGCTTCATTTTAAATTGCTACGTGACTATAACTCTAACATTTACACTGTGTGGACAGTGCTGCTTCAACCGGAAGCTTTGTCAATGACAGGCAATATTAAACAATATTTACGGCATATTACAAATGCAAAATTCGTTATTCGTTTAGTTTAGGCAAATACACATTATTGGTTTGGGAAATTTTATTTATAATACTGTGCTAGTTTTAATTCAATTAAAGTTGCAATAATTTGAACGGACTGACCAATCAGAAGAGAGTTAACAAGTAGCCCGCAAACACACTTCGTCCATTAATACCCCATAATATTAAAGAAAATACAATAGTTGACTCTGATATGTGTTATGTAATATAAGCAGACACTGTTTGATTCAAAATATTTTGTTTAAATTACACATTTTCTTTCAAATGAGTGAAAATTGACGGCAATAGCGGGAACACGTTGACCAATCAGGAAAGAGATTACAAACTGACAGCGCCCTTTCTTCCTCGACCAACATCACAGATGAAAGAAACAGAATTACTCATAAGGCCTCGTCTTAAATATCGCTGACAACTAAGGCGTGCGGTTTCAACGACAATTGACAAGTAAGGGGAGTCAGTCGAACCATTTCGTTACTAGTTTTTAAAACATCTGCTTATAAAATGAACGTTGTTAAATAATTTGATTCACTGGAAATGCTCCTGTGGTCTTGGTGCTTCAGTTGTAATTGCGTCAGACTATCACTGTCCACGCGACAGTGCTGCTCCAACCGGGTGCATTTTCTTTCATCCAGTAATATTTAATAATATTCATGACATGTTACAATTCCAGATTTTGTTATGTTTTCAGTTCAGAGAAATATAATTTTTGATTAGGAATTTTGTTTGAAATGCCGTACTTTCGTTTAATCTAGCCAGTTTTCGCGGCAATAATTTTAACAGATTGACCAATCAGGAGAGACTTGAAAAGTAGACACCGATGTTCTCGTAAGTGAGTGATATTTCGTAATATTCAAGTTGTATTATAAAAGTTAACTTCGTTATGTGTTAATTAAGAAAAACGACATTTTCCGATCCCCAAATTCTTTCTTTGAATTGAGTCAATTTTGCCTGTATATGACATTCCATGTTGACCAATCAGGAGAGAGATTACAAGCTGTTGGCGGTTTGCGTTGCAAATGTGTCCCTGTGTACTGCGTGCATTGTGGTGTTGTTGTTGAATAATTTGTTAAGAAAGTCATCATTTAAGGTTTTCGATGCAGCTGATAACTACCAGAACTGTAAGTACAGAAATGTCAAATAATGTCTAATGAATACTATGAAAATGAACGAAGTGTATCGGGTTTTGTACTTTGCATATTTCAAGGTATTTATTGTATTTATTTACATATTTGTGGGTACTATTTACTAGGTTGTTCAACTATAGCAATTGGAAGGAAAATACTAATGTAAGGTTAGGAAAGTTACAGTGTTACTCCCCAACGACACGAACAAACGTGGCCGATGACTACGGCCGGTCGAAGGGAATGCAAACTGCAGTACCGACAACAGTCTGGGTTGTGACAGTTTGTACATTCAGAGCTGCCACCTTACTTAAAAACTTTTTAGTTCATTTAAGGACGCCATTTGTGCAGCTGAGACTTCAATAACGTAGATTTGCTTATATGTTTACTTCTATTATTACGTGGTGCAAAATATGAGGCAAACGTTGCAGAATGTCCAGAGATAAATGTGGTGGGGGAATAAAAGCTAGTGTATGGTTTAATAAGCCCTTCGTAAGAAATGTGTAAACATTAGTAAGATAGACAAAGACATGTCTGTATGTAGCCTGGTTGGTGGTACATATTGTCTTTTGTGTTGACATCGTGAGCTTGTTATCTTGACACTGTCACCAATTAACTAACGTCCGTCTCTCTGAACTCGCAGTGCGCGGATCCATGTAATTAGGGCCCGTCCCCGGTTTGATTACGTTTTTCCAATAGTGAGGTCGAAGGGTGTGAATGGATTATTGACAAAGGAGGGTGACGAAAAACACCTGAAAAAGGAAGGTTTTTAAGTAAGACTCTGAAGGGGGCAAAGTCTCTTAAGCTAGTCGATAAATTTTCTGGCTTTTATGGAACTTTTTCGCCGGTAAGCCCGAATGTTCTCCTCAGAAACCCCGTTATCTAAGCGCTGTAACTTCAGCTGTTGATTATGCGTGGTTAATAACCTGGATCATCAGCTGACGTATTCATCCCACTTCTTTGTGTTTACACGAACGAAGAAGAATTGCTGAAACAGTTCGCTCCTGGAACGATGTCGTCGAACTTACGTGGGTACTGCAGAACCCTGGCTGATAGTATTTAGTTGGCAGCACTGGATCACAACCTACGACAACGCGCGTGGGAAACGGATAGGTAATGCGTGGGATCGCCACGAAGGCGCCACTTGTTGGGCTCAACAAACTCGACAGCTGACGCGATCGCTCGCTGCCCTGACATCTACCAGCCACAGCATGAACGAACCTTGTCATTCTTATTAGCGCACCGGAAATTAAAAAAATTCTCTGGAAGGTTGTGGTCATTCCAACCTCAAAATTCTGAATGGCCATCCTTTCACAAACGTTAGGTGGCTTCTGGCGACGTGGTGTTTGCGAAACTGTCTGTTTGTTGTTGTGGGGGATGGACACAGACATCGTGATGCAGGGACTTGGAAGTATTCCGGCCGGAGAAATGAAAATAACAGTTGGAGTGTTTGGAAACGCGCGCATGCGTCATTTATTGCGATGCATGTTTCATATTTACAGGGTACAAACCTTGTTCCCAGTTGCGATGTAGCCGAGTGCGTTCTTTCGTTTCGAGACTGTCTGAACGTTAGCTGTCGTCTTGACAGCACACACCAACGAAACTGCAACAGAAATGTTGTTAATGGCATAACTTTTTGTCTGCCATTCTGTTACGAGAGTGTAACGAGGAAGTGTTTCTTCAAGAAGCTACCGTCCTACACCAAGGTTAAAAATGCATGGAGCCTCGTCTCCAATCACAACATGCTGTTTGTCGGCGGATCAGAATCGCCTTCACCGGGACACGCGGATAAGAGATGAGTCCATCTGAATCGTGGAATCGGCACTACGACATTATGAAAGTGTGCGACATTGCACGCTCGAAACATTCCCAGAGTCGGTGTGTGGCAGGCAGCTTCTGCACGCTACCATTTGAAACAGCTGTTCCACCTTTGAATTTATCGACCGATTTCATTTCTGTTCTTAGGCTAACGATAAGTTGTAGGATTTGACGTTCTCACGAGAAGGCTGTCTTCTGGGTTGTTGCGCGGCGTAGTCCGGTAGAAGTTTACCCACGTTTCAGAGGTTCTTGCTGCCTCCATCATCAGGGCGATGTTGGAAAACTTCTACCAGACGACAGCCATCTTCTAACAACAAGTTATTTCTACCTCAAGGACACCTTGTTCTTAACTAAGTACTATTTCATGCAGACATGTGAGGGAGTGGGGTGTAGCTCCACGCATTCTAAACCTCGGTTCTGGATAAAGTTGAGGGGTTAGCTTTACGCCCCGGCCGTTTGAAAGTGGGCCCCAAATGAAACACTCACTGCGTTGGATTACAGGGAACTAACCTATCGATGCGACAGAAGAACGGAAGGAACTCCGTCTGGTTGTTGAGGAACGTTAGAAGAACACAGTACTTGAGATGTCTGCAGTGTCCGGGCTGCCCACCAGGTGTCACGCACGCCGCGTAAGCCGCATTTGTCTGCAACAAAGCACCAGCAACATGGCCACTTGAGCCCCGTCGTGTCATCATCTTATTTTTGCTGGCTGTTATTATTTAGAAGAGCTCTAAATAAAAAAATATTGAGACTTCTGTGCATTGCAACAATTTATATGAATGCAGTGCACACACTTCGTGAGATCCTTTTTAATATTGTATTCTCCAGTGAAGACAAAGACTTGTTCTTACCTCGTCAGCTGTAGCCAAGTTCAAAACTTCGCTTGTTCCGTTGACACCGGTCGGTAAGGAGACGGTGGTGTCATTCGGGGACAACCATAAGATGTCATCAAGGCTGGCCGAGGTGCTCACTGAAAACACGAATTGTTCTTAGTGTTGAGCGAGAAAGGCAAGGCCAGGCCAGACACGAGTGAATGAGGACTCTGCACGGGCGATCTGAGAGCATCGGAATTTGATGATTCAAGAGTTGGAGAAATAAATGCAAGTGGACCTTCGCTTTTCTTAGCAAATGACACGACCTCTGGATGGAGATCAGTTTTAGACAAATAAATAGCTTCCGAGGGTCTCTCGTGTGCATTGGCTGTAAAAGTCTGAAAAATCAGGCTACTTCAACTTTAGATATTAATTACTGTTTCAAAGCAAGCGAGAAATTAGATTGTCGTACCTGGATAGGCTGGGAGTATCAAATCGGCGTAATACGCTGTAAAAGAACATTAGAGTCAGTTCGTGTATTAACGTTGGTTTTGGTATTTTGAACCTCAGAACCACGACGAATGGTTCAACACTCATAACATCAAATACTGTACATGCATGAGACACTTACCTCCGCTGCTGCTTATAGGACGCATGTCCTGGTAGCCACCTGGAAGTACTGAAAGAACACAAAATGCGGATAGAATTAAAACCAGAACAGGGCCAAAGTCGCTGGTATTTGATACAGCGGTGAAAAACTAATACTCAGTGTCTGACTGCAACTTACTTCTGCTGTATGCATTATGTGAAGTTTTCGCGGCTCCTGAAAGCAGACAAAATGCAGACAGCATCAAAACGAGGCCACGAAATAAGTAACTGGAATGTGATACAGCGGTGAAAAACGAATACTCAATGTCTGACTTAAGAATACACCAACACGTATACAAAAAATATATTTTGAGTCCATCAGACGTGAATGTGGATATTATTAAAATGGACCTCAAACATAATTTGTGGATTGAATTTACGGGCTCTTGTGAAAAAAGTAGTGAACCTTACGTTTCCATACAACACGCGGAATATCACCAGATCAGCGACTGTCAGTTTCTAGACGAGGACTCTGCTCCTTACGAGGCATTTGACAGAGAAGGAGCAGGGCAGTCTGCGATTCCTCGACATGAACTGGGCGGTCGACTTAAGAAAGCTTACAGCCTACTTGCACAATATTTTTATTATTTAGTGTTTTCTCGGACTGGGACCTGTTCATATACGTTCTTGGCAGATGATCCAGAAGTGGTTTGCCATTGCCTTCTTCTGTGTGTGAATGCCACGGAGAAACCGGGGAAGCCCCCGGAGGAAAACTCCGTGTTGCCTAGACCACGGCCTTGCCCAACACAAGTTATAAATTCGGGCACCGCCGGGAATCGAACCCGAGACCCCAGGATTACAAGGCCAACCAGCGGTCTAACCGCTAGACCACCGTGGCGTAGCTCCACGCATTCTAAACCTCGGTTCTGGATAAAGTTGAGGGGTTAGCTTTACGCCCCGGCCGTTTGAAAGTGGGCCCCAAATGAAACACTCACTGCGTTGGATTACAGGGAACTAACCTATCGATGCGACAGAAGAACGGAAGGAACTCCGTCTGGTTGTTGAGGAACGTTAGAAGAACACAGTACTTGAGATGTCTGCAGTGTCCGGGCTGCCCACCAGGTGTCACGCACGCCGCGTAAGCCGCATTTGTCTGCAACAAAGCACCAGCAACATGGCCACTTGAGCCCCGTCGTGTCATCATCTTATTTTTGCTGGCTGTTATTATTTAGAAGAGCTCTAAATAAAAAAATATTGAGACTTCTGTGCATTGCAACAATTTATATGAATGCAGTGCACACACTTCGTGAGATCCTTTTTAATATTGTATTCTCCAGTGAAGACAAAGACTTGTTCTTACCTCGTCAGCTGTAGCCAAGTTCAAAACTTCGCTTGTTCCGTTGACACCGGTCGGTAAGGAGACGGTGGTGTCATTCGGGGACAACCATAAGATGTCATCAAGGCTGGCCGAGGTGCTCACTGAAAACACGAATTGTTCTTAGTGTTGAGCGAGAAAGGCAAGGCCAGGCCAGACACGAGTGAATGAGGACTCTGCACGGGCGATCTGAGAGCATCGGAATTTGATGATTCAAGAGTTGGAGAAATAAATGCAAGTGGACCTTCGCTTTTCTTAGCAAATGACACGACCTCTGGATGGAGATCAGTTTTAGACAAATAAATAGCTTCCGAGGGTCTCTCGTGTGCATTGGCTGTAAAAGTCTGAAAAATCAGGCTACTTCAACTTTAGATATTAATTACTGTTTCAAAGCAAGCGAGAAATTAGATTGTCGTACCTGGATAGGCTGGGAGTATCAAATCGGCGTAATACGCTGTAAAAGAACATTAGAGTCAGTTCGTGTATTAACGTTGGTTTTGGTATTTTGAACCTCAGAACCACGACGAATGGTTCAACACTCATAACATCAAATACTGTACATGCATGAGACACTTACCTCCGCTGCTGCTTATAGGACGCATGTCCTGGTAGCCACCTGGAAGTACTGAAAGAACACAAAATGCGGATAGAATTAAAACCAGAACAGGGCCAAAGTCGCTGGTATTTGATACAGCGGTGAAAAACTAATACTCAGTGTCTGACTGCAACTTACTTCTGCTGTATGCATTATGTGAAGTTTTCGCGGCTCCTGAAAGCAGACAAAATGCAGACAGCATCAAAACGAGGCCACGAAATAAGTAACTGGAATGTGATACAGCGGTGAAAAACGAATACTCAATGTCTGACTTAAGAATACACCAACACGTATACAAAAAATATATTTTGAGTCCATCAGACGTGAATGTGGATATTATTAAAATGGACCTCAAACATAATTTGTGGATTGAATTTACGGGCTCTTGTGAAAAAAGTAGTGAACCTTACGTTTCCATACAACACGCGGAATATCACCAGATCAGCGACTGTCAGTTTCTAGACGAGGACTCTGCTCCTTACGAGGCATTTGACAGAGAAGGAGCAGGGCAGTCTGCGATTCCTCGACATGAACTGGGCGGTCGACTTAAGAAAGCTTACAGCCTACTTGCACAATATTTTTATTATTTAGTGTTTTCTCGGACTGGGACCTGTTCATATACGTTCTTGGCAGATGATCCAGAAGTGGTTTGCCATTGCCTTCTTCTGTGTGTGAATGCCACGGAGAAACCGGGGAAGCCCCCGGAGGAAAACTCCGTGTTGCCTAGACCACGGCCTTGCCCAACACAAGTTAGAAATTCGGGCACCGCCGGGAATCGAACCCGAGACCCCAGGATTTCAAGGCCAGCGTTCTAACCGAGTTCTGCCGTACCTTGTACTGGAAAAGATGACAGGCTGACAGGTGACACGTGGCTGGGAGCTCTGCTTCGATCTGCAGCTGCAACAGGACAATTTTCAGTGCAATTGTGGGTACATAACATAGTCTGAGACTCTTTTTTAAATGCCAGCCTGTCTCATGACCGCACATGTTGGTTTCTCGATATCGCATGTGAACCCTCGCATCGATATATCGTACAGACCATTTTAGTTGGTAACGTTTTCGCTGTTCATAATCTCATTTTACGAGAAATATAAATGATTTGTTAGATTTATGAAGAATAACGGTGAGCACTTTATGTCGGTGGTTCGCTACCCACTAATGTATGATGAAAACATTTGAAGCCGGTCATTTTCAATCGTCCCACATCTGAGGCGCATTGCAGTCTGACGTCACAGCAAGATCACGGTACGGAAATTTCTTAAAAGTGCTGCTGTTACTTAACAACTGCCTCGTGACTTGGAATTCTCAGAGACTTCATTGAACTTACTGGTGTAAAGTTATCGTTTGTAACCTCCAGAACATATGACGATCAGATCACCATGGCAATGACGAGACTGCAACGTGCTTCTGTGCAAAAACTCCTGGACGACCTTCAATGTTGACTTTTTGTTTTGTTATTGGTTCCGCGATGAGTCTGCCTTCAACTGCACCTCATAAAAAAGTTTTCAGCCGTCGCTAAGCCGAAGCTCGTCTAAATATTATTTAATAAATCAGTCCGTACCGCGAAGAAAACACTGCACTTCACCATTACAAAGATCGACTGGTTAACGCTGTTTAAGGAAATAATCGCTGTTTACACTGAGAACAATACGAAACCCATACATAAAAAACGCAGAGTTATTAACTGTGTGAAGCAGGTGGTACATATAGTTACCACTGGGTCTTAAAGGGTTAAAAGACGAAGAGGCAAGCAACTGGAAACTTCTGATGGAGGGCTCTACGGTCTGAAAACTGAAGGCCACAGACCACATGCGAGATGTGGCTCGTAGAAAAATACGGAGGGTCGGGATTTTGTGAAAACGGTAATGAACCTTTTGGGGATTTACTGATCAGCTGAACGACCGTCAGTTTGTCAAGAACTTCGCCTCCCGTGCAAATTATCTACTCGGGCATCGGGCCCACAACTTGCCACTTCTTCTGTGCGGTCAACATCACCTGCAAACGAGGCTTCCTCGGGTTCCACGGGTCGCGTCTCGTTGTCCGGCCTCACCACTACGAGTGACGTCAGCGGAGTGACGAATGAGTACTGCAAAGCACAAGTACCGATTCGTCATTGTCTGTCACACAAAATACTGAACGTGTGACGAGGAAAATGAAAAGAAAATAATTTCGGGCGTTTCATTTAGGAGAGGGAAATGGGAAATTGCGCATCTTCGTAAAATGTTTCGCCGGAAAACCTGAGAGGAAGACTTGCGTGGAAATTATGTTCTGGTTTCAAGAATTTTATGACCAGCTGACCGACTAATAGCTTCTCACCGTGAGTGCTAGTTCCAGGGCGCGTTGTTTCCCTGGGGACGTGCTGGCGTCATCGTCTTCCAGAAGTTGCTGTATGGTGAGATAGGCCCACAGCCTCTCCATTGTGTTGGCGGTAGGCGTGGTCGGCAAGATCACCGGGTCGAACGGGTAACGTGCGCTGCCCGAAGACGAGTGGGCTTGTACCTCGCCAGTGACGTTGTTCCCGTGCAGGCGTCCGGCCACCACGAGCTCAGAGCCGGAGAAAAACCTCCGGAACGCGAGCCTCGTCACAGACTGAGGTTCAACCTGGGGCAAACCACAGAGTAAAAACGGAGACCCACTTCGGTCCGACCGTATCTCTTTGGTTGTCGTCAAACCTCCGCGTTCGGAAGCTCACCTGGTCCGGCTGATATCTGAAGGTGACGTTCGCGAGCAGCGGAGATGCCACCTGTCGGTAGAAATCTGTGAGCTGCAGCGCAGTGTCTGAAGCCTCGTAGATCTTCCGCGCGAAGCCAGAGTTGCGGAGCGAAAGCTTCTTCAGGAAGGGAAAGTCCGCTCCATTTCCGAGCGCCAGGCTGAAGATGGACGAGTTCCCGGCGTTGGCCGCGGTCACGCTGGACACGATTCTGAACGTGTCCGAAACACCGACGTTTGCTTGTCCGTCGGTCAGGAAGATAATCATTGGTTCCGGCCTTTCCTCTGCGTGATTGGTTTGTTCCGGAGACGCAGAGCGCCCGACTTCCAGTATCTGCAGAGCCTTCATCAGGGCGCCGTGTATATTGGTCGCTGTAAACAGAGCGTTTGTCTCGTGAGCACGTTCATGCCCTGCCCTGGTTCCGCCGCCGTCAAGAATAAGATAAATATTACCTCCTCATTTTGTATCTTGTATTTCGAAAAAAAAATGGTCACGAATGCCGCTTAAACGTAACGAGCTAGGGAATTGCGTGTGATTCTGTTTCGTTGGCTCGGTCACTGACTCCGATGTTCAATCGTAGACGCTGACTCAGGGCGCCGCAATGCAAAATACGACGAAGACCAGTCCATTGAGTCTCGAGTTATGAGCTGACACGGCATTAAAGTCAGCGCACGTTCGTTTACTCTAAGACCTCGAGAGCTACAAAGTGTAAAAAAAAGTCTTATTTTTCCCTTCAACTCTCTCTATTAACATTCCATGATTCGAGGAATCTCAAGCCACTTAAGCTCGAGATTCGTGTCAGTGTAAATTTAGGTCTAGATGGAGTCTCCTCCGAAACGTCGGTACATGGCGTCTCGGTCTACAGTCTGAACCATCTCCAAGTGGCACGTGCATTATGAGACGACACGGTGCACGGTCTTACCAGAATAAGTTGTCAAGTTCTGCACAAATCGCTTTGCTTTGTTCGTGTTCTCCAGAGTGATGGCTGTAATCACAGAAGGGGCCGGCGTTCCACTGCGCTCTGCATCGGTGGTAGATTCTGTCCAGTCCCTCAGTCGTCCTAAATTATCTTGCATTTCGGCCTCGCCCAGGGCAGGATCCCACACCTGGAATTTGACATCAAATCTGTCGTACGGACCTCGTAAAGACGATGTACGTATTTGTGAATTGGCTGTGCTGGTTTTTCTGTTCGTACCTCAACTTTCTCGCTGAATACGACGATGCTGAAGAGGTCCCCTCGATTCAGGTCGTCCAGTATGGTCGCCATGGCCTCCTTCAGCTGACGCAGCTTCCTGCCACTCATGGACCCACTGACGTCCAGCACGAAGATCACGTGTTTCGGTAACGGTGGCAGATCGACTGGGGCGAAGAAGTGCACGAAGTACCCGTCGCTGACCTGAAAACGTGGTTTCAAGCGACACGACTGAAAACCTCGTGTATGAACTGTCACAAATGCAGAAATAATCCTGGAGGACGGAGTTCTCGACTGCCTTGTCGTAGGATTTTAAACTTTTGTTCGAATCTCATAGCACGTGCTGCTTACCACAACTTGTCCCGGATGCTGCGTCCTCTCCACGTCGTACTTTACAACGAGCTGGCCCCTGATACCGTCACGAGCAAGTTCCCTCTGCTGTTCCGGGGTCGGTGCGAATCTTACGACGGCCGACTCAGGGGTTGGGCGCTCTACGGTAGCCAGGGGGTTGTGTGCACCTGCGGAACAATTCCATTTTAATATTATCCTCCTACTGCAAACCCTTCCCACCAGCAACGATACGTACCTGCGGCAGGGTCCGTGTTTATCTCGTTGCTGACCTTGAGGGCTGGGAC